GGCTGGGACCCCCCTGACGAGCTGCAGGAGAGAGGGGGGGGCTGCCTTGCCCTCTTGGGGGGGGCTGCCCGGCCCTGCCCTGGGTGCGGGTGCCAGCGCGGCCTTTCGCAACGCTCCGCTCCCGGCCGGGTTCGGGCGAGGCTGGAGCCCGCTGCCACCCGGGGACCCCCGATCATCCACGCTCTCCGGGGCGTCCTACCTTGTTCCCTGAGCTGGAGCAGTCGTCGAAGGGGGTCAGGGCCGCCTTGCACCTCGGCGGGACCCCCAGGTAGAGGGGCTGTCCCCAGGCGGGCGCGTAGGAGCCCAGGCGCCAGTCCACGCCGCCGAACCGCCCGTCCCCCATCGCCCCCGGCGCCTCCGCCCCCGCGCCGCCGAACGGGGGGTCGGCCGGGGGGCCGGCGGGCAGCAGCGAGGACAGGAGGAAGGGGCTGTGCTTGGCCTCCACGAGGAAGGGGCAGTGGCGGAAAGCCGGGGGGTCTCCGGCCGTGTCCCCCGCGGCCGTTCGGGGCTTGCCGGCGGCACTGGGGCGCTGAGGGTCCAGCCCCGGCACGGGCAGGGGGTAGCGGTGGTACGCGTGGCTGTAGAGGGCCAGGGGGGCCAGCACGGCCTCGGCCCACCGCGACCCGGGGTGGTCCTTGCAGGGCTCCCCCCAGCCCGCCTTGGGCTGCCCGTTCCTGGGGGGCAGCAGCGGGGGCAGCTCGGCCCCGTCCTTGGGGCGGCACAGGGCGTCCCGCAGGCACGGCGGGGCCGGGGGGTAGGGACAGCCCAGCCGGCCCCCGGCGAGCTCCCGGACGGGTCCCAAACATCCCTCGGAGCCCCTCCAGGGACACCCCTTCTCCATCCCGTAGCTCAGCTTGCCGGGCTCCGCGTAGCCCGGGAGTCCCAGCTCGGCGGCAGCGCTTCGGGATAAGACCATCCCGCTGCTCTCCATCCCCCGGGAGTCCTGCGCTGCGTCCGGGGCTCTCCTCCACCGCGGCGGGGTCTCCCCCATCCTCGCGTCGCTGGCCATGCTGCTCCCACACTCATGTGGTGCTCAGCGCCGTCCCGGGCTGGCCGGACCCTGCGGGCAGAGAGAGGGGCATCAGCGGGGCACTGCACCGAGCCCTGCCCGGGCAGCGCCGCGGGGAAACCGAGGCATAGGGATGGTTGGGGGTGTCGCTGGGGGGGCTGCTTTCAACCCCCCGGCTCCCCCGCGCCGTGTGAGATGGGAATCTCTCCGGCATGGCGAACGGGGGGATCCCTGGCTCTCGTGTGCCCCGCGGCATCCGTCGGGAAGCACGACCCAGGAGGGGAGGGCACATGTCTGGAGAGTGTATATTCGCCGTCCCGTCCCGTCCGGTCCCTCCTGCGCCCATCCCGGCGTGGCTGGAGGCCGGGACGCTCCTCGCGCCCACCCGTCCCTCCGCACCCAGCCTGGCCCCGCGCCCGGCCGCTGGCACCCAGCGTGGGGAGGCCGTGCCCCGCGCAGGTATTTGCCTCCGGCCAGGGCTGGGCTGCGCTTCCCAGGAGGGCTTCCAGAGCAGGGGGAGCTCCCCGCTCCCAGGGGCCCCTCCTGGGAGAAATGCCTGGGGAGATTTTGCTGGATTAACCCTCCTCCGGGACCCGGGCCACACGCAGGCGCGGGGTGCAGAGCCAGAGCTCGCCGAGCTGGCAGTGGCATCCCTTCCCCCTGTCCCCCTGTCCCCCTGTGCCCCTCCCTGCCCGGGAGCTGGGACAGCCAAGGGGGACAGGCACGAGGTCACCCAGCTCCCAGTGCCACTGCGGGGTGGGACGGAGCCGCCCCCATGGCCGGGATGGGGACAGGAGTGGGATGAGGACAGGAACAAGGTGGGGACAGGAGCAGGGTGGGGACAGAAGTTTGTGTCCCAGGAGCCGCCTGTCCCCGTCACATCCTCTGCCAAGGGAGGGCAAAGTCCCCATTCCCACACTGCTGGAGAAGCATCCTGGAGCGCCCTGTCCGAGCTGGGGCACCCTGGGCCACAGGGACACCCTGGGGACACCCACCCTGCCCCTCCAAGGGGCAGGACCCAGCCAGGCTCTCCCATCCAGCCCCACTCCAGGACTCTGCTCCCAGCCTTGCCCCTGGTGTCCCAAGGCTGCCCCACCACAGGCCACCCCTGGGGTCCCCCCAGCTCCCTCAGGGTCCCCAGGGTGACGTTGTCCCCTGTCCTTCATCCCATCAGGAGCACAAGGAGCCCGTCAAGCATCCCCTCCACCCCACAGCTACCTGGAGGGTCCATCAGGGACCCCAAGGCCGAGGACGAGCGGGTGTCTCCGCCGGTGACACCAAATCCCAGAGAGGCAAGGCCGGGAGGGTGGGAGCACCTAAACCCACAGGCTGAAGGGGTCCGGCTCCGGGATCTGGAGGAGGCAGAAAGCCGCCTGGGCAGCCCTGGGGATGTTCTTCTCCGAATGCTGGAGCTGGAGTTTTTGATCCATTGGCTTGGGGGGCTCCGTGCTCCTCCTGCCTATTGTCCTACGAGCTGGGGTTCCCGCTGGGCTGGGATTCAGGGAGAGGGGTATCCAGGGAGCAGCACGAGTGGGACCTTCCCCTCGGCTCTAGGCAGCGCTGAGCATGACAGCAGGACGAGGCAGTGGCTCCGCTCCCCGCGATCCGCAGCCTCCGCCGGCTCCGGCAGCGACTGGGCGGGCGGGAGGGAGGGATGCTGGGGCTGCTGACGCCCGGGAACCGGGAATCGGCGTGGTGCCGGCGGTGCCGCCCAGCCCCGGGGGCACCGGCGGCGGTGCCAAGGCAGGGCAGGTGTGCTCTGCCCCGTGCGGGTGAAGAAAGCGCCCTTTGTTCGGCGGTTCCGCCCTGTCACCGCTGAAAGGCTCCAGCCGCCCCGCTCCGGGCCGAACTGGAATGGGAGAAACACCGGGATGGGCCAAACTCCCCCTGTCCTGGCGCTGGGGCGGGCTGGTGGTGGCACGCCTGGCATGGAGCATGTGGCCACCCCATGGGATGTGAGCCCCTGGGACCCCCAACCCCTTTGTTCTTGCCCAAAGAGCAGAGATCTGGCCTCAAGCCGTGCTGCCACCTTCATGCAGAGCCTTGTCCATCCCTGCTCCGGCTGCTTGGGATGAAGGCAGAGCTCCTCTGCCTCCCTGCAGACCCCCAGGTGGGAAGAGCAGGATGTGCTCCAAGGGGTGCAGAGGGGCTTTGTGGAGCACCAGGATGCTGTGGCAGCATCCCTGTGGTGCCATCCTGCCGAGGGATGGGAAGGGAGTACCCAGGGGGCCACTTACCCCCTGCCCTGCAGCCCACCAGGATCACTCCCATCCCAGCCATGCCCTGCAGCCCACCAGGATCACATCTATCCCTGCAGCCCACCAGGATCACATCTATCCCTGCAGCCCACCAGGATCACGCCCATCCCAGCCATGCCCTGGCAAGAACTGGCACCCTGTGAGTGCTCTCTGCACCATTCCCAGCACTGAGACCCCTCAGCACCGAGACACCCCGACCCCAAACCCACCAGCTCCCACAGCCCACTCCTTCCGAGCGACTCTCCAGCCCTGGAGAGGGGGGAGCAGGT